ACTTAGTGTGATTGGTTATAATTCTTGCTTTTATTTAAAGTAACCATGGTTCAAATCCAGTACATGTCTGTTTTATGAATAAATAAATAATAAATAAATAATTGTGAAGACCAAAATGTCCTTCCTACATCCACTTACGTTGCAGGAAATTTGAAATGGAACAACAACTTTTTGACTTAGATTTTTGGGTTAATACCTTATTTTGGCCCGAACTATGACCATATAATCAACTTTGGCCCGTGGTTTGAGAAATTAACATCCTGGCCCGAACTATACATCATATAATCTAATTTGGCCAGAGTCGTATTTTGACCGTCAATTTGGACGGTCAACACCATTGACTAACGGTCAACGCTCCAGCTCACCGGCAGGTCAACAAAAATAAATAAATAATTTGAATTTTTTTCATTTTCTAATTTCCTTTAGCTATTAAGATAATAAAGAATTAAATTTGGCCCAAAATTAATCTCTCTTTCGTGGACACGAGAGAGGGGAGGTAGTTCTCCTCAGAACCCGAATTCTCGCCGCCTCCAAACCCTAACTTTCAATCCATCCTAGCCTCAAACCCTCCGCGACCCGAAACTTTCCCTAATCCCGGACCATGGAAACTCTGACGCTTTCTACATCACCCCCAACGGGAAGCTCCTTTTCGACGACTCGATCCCCATCGGAGGCCCCCATGTCACCGCTCTCTACCGTAGTGGCGGAGGCGATGGCGGCGCGACGGGGTCGGCGTGGAAGGGGTTCTGGGTGAGTTAGAAGCCGCAATAGTTCCAAATTTCCCGGCGAATTAAATCCAACGACGACGAGCAGAAGCCGCAATCGACTGGGGTCGACATGGACGGGGTTCTGAGCGGATGACAGAGCGGGGGGCGAATTTGGATTGGATGTGGCGAGGCAAGGGGAGAAAGCTCAAGATCAATTAAGAGGTGGGGGTTTTGGTTCACCGACGAAGGACATCTCGTGGTGGGAAAGGAAACTGCAGGAGAAGTAGGGAGCGGAGAGTAGGGAGTCACCAATTTCGGATCTAGGGCGAAGAAGAAGAAGAAGAGGTGAAGCATGAGGCGGGGAAAGCAAACAGAGGGTTGCCACAGCAGCGTGGGGTTGTAACGACCACAAAGTTTTTAATTAATTTGTTTATTTCTAATAATTATAAAAGTGTAAGATACATTATTTATATTATTTTATTTGATATATTTATTAATTCATTAAATATTTTATTAATTTTTAGTGCCTACGTGGCATCCATATCAGCAAAACATGCTGATTCATTAACGGTCAACACTGTTGACCGTTTAATTTGACTGCTCCGGCCAAATTAGACTATATGATGCATAGTTTGGGTCGGAATGTTAATTTTCCAAACCACGGACCAAAGTTGATTATATGGTCATAGTTCGGGTCAAAATAAGATATTAAGTATTAACCCTAAATTTTTCCCATTATATTAAGAATTACAAACTGAACCCTCCGAACATGTTGCCATTCCTTCAGGCTCCAGCTTAGCCACGAATGACGAAACAGACTTGTGTAATCTGATTTGGAAGGGAAAAAACGAACCTAGAAAGCCCAGGCCGAGCCCAAAGAGCTGAACGGAGCATCTAAATGCCCATTTGGGCCCTATCGTAACCGCCACGAAACGTAGCCCACATATAGTCCATCACAGGTACTCCGTCCTCATTCACCGTCAATACAAAAACCACCTTCAGCCAATTCCAAGTACCTCATTTCTTCGTCGCTACTTTTTCTCCTTTCACGCGCTCGAACAAAACCGTAGCCATGGAAGCGAAGCTTGGCAAGTTCTTCGAATCCGTCACCAACTTCTTCACCGGAGGCGATCAGATCCCTTCCTGCGACCGCGACATCGTCGCAGTAAGTTCGATTTCCCATTTCGCTTCACACCTCCTCTCGCGGCTCGCGCCTTCTGCCTTCTCTCCTTTCCCTCTGTTCTTTTATCGTCTTATCAAAGAGGCGTGGGTTATCGCTGTTTCAGCGAACCTCTATTCAGCCTGAAATTGAAAATCGCGTCAAGAAACAAACAATCCACCTAGGGTTCACTGGGAAACTGTCGCGATTTTGTAGAAAATTGATTCGATGCCGTGTGATTGAGCTCTGTGTTCTTAGTCGGACTGAAAATGGGGGTTGAGTGGAGACCCAGTTTCCTTTTATGTAGCTTTCGGAAATTCTGCCCGTGCCGAAAACTTCATGTATTCTTGTTTACCTTGACGAAGGTGTAATATGTGGAGATGAGCTTGTGCACCTTGAGAGTAATGGAGATAGTTCCTCCGGTTCTCTAATTTGGCTTTCTTTTTACTTTCCTTCCGTGTGTTCTGTTGAGCTCTATTTGGTTTCCGTTTTAGTATACTGGGTTATCTTGCTGCAGAGTTGTGGTTGCTTCTATCCTGTTAAGCAAGCTGCTTGTAATTAGCTTGATGGTGCCTTCTTTGGCAGGGTTTCATTATATGCCCTTATAGGCTATAGCAGTACTGCTGTGGTTTGAATGTCTTTGCTGATATATCTAGTCTGCAAAAGGTTGGAGTAGAATTAGAACGTGGGGTTTTAGACTAGACTCTGGACTTCTGCATCCAGTAGGCAAAGATTATGTGTGAATCCGATCCTGAAGACTCTCTGCTTGCAAAATATGTAACCTATCTAGAGTTGTGGAGTGACGAAACTTCTTGTCGCTCATCGTTTTTCCTCGTAAACTGAAATAGGGGAAGTGGTTGCACATTGGCTTTGGGAATCTGGTTCTCCTTCTGATTTGCTTGTTATCATGACCGAATCCGCGCAGTAATATCATATGTTTTCCTTTATGTATGCACTTAGTTATTGAATTGGTGCATCTACAGGGTTGTGAACAAGAGGTTCGCGAAGCTCAGGAGGGTTCCAACGAGGAATTGAAGAATGAGTGCATCATGCGTCTATCTTGGGCTCTAGTTCACTCGAAACAGCCAGAAGATGTTCAACGTGGCATAGCTATGCTTGAATGTAATGTTCATATTCGCAATGCAATTGCACTGACCTATACTTTTATTTGCTCATAGAATTTTCCTCTGCAACTACAGGGTGGTTGATTTTGTGGCCTTTCTTATCGTGGTTTCTTCCTGTGTAGCTATTGACTGTAAAAATGTGTTGCATTTGCAGCTTCCCTGGGAACTAATACCAGCCCTTTGAAACTGAGGGAGAAGCTATATCTTCTGGCTGTTGGATACTACAGATGCAGCGAATATGCTAGGAGCAGGGAGGTGGTAGAAGAATGTCTGAAGGTATATCATCCTGTCATCTTAACTTCCCCTCCTGTTTTCCCAGGTTGCTAGTATGCTCTTCATTATGTGTGGTTTACTTGTCCTTCATTATGGTACCATGTGGAGTCTTTCTGATATGCTCTTCTCCGATACGCAGATTGAACCTGATTTTAGGCAGGCACAGACTCTGAAGAGAGCCATTGAAGATCGTATCACAAAGGGTATGCATTGTTAGAGCTTTGATCTTATAACTAATAACTGGATGAGTTGCTTCATTCGTTGGTTTTACATTCTGGTTTTTTTTTTTTGGTTTGTATGCAGATGGTGTGATTGGTATAGGAATTGCTGCAACTGCCGTTGGATTAGTTGCTGGAGGGATTGCTGCTGCTTTGGCACGGAGGGGTTGACCTGACCAGGCTGACTGCATAGGAGGAACGCCAAACTCACTACATATTTATGTTTCCTCCTCGTCTCTCTCTTTTTTTTTTTTTTTTGGATTTCCCCTGGGAGTATTAAGCTTAAACAGTTGTTTTAGCTTTCATCGGAATTACATTCTAGCTTGCTTTGTGAGTGGTTATTCGGTTGATTAGTCTGATGAATAACTGAGGATCTTCTGTTTTTTTTTTTCACCCTTACGAATTCACTACGAGAATATGGCTTGTCTATCTGGTTCTTTCAAATAGAATGCTACTATTATTCAATTAAAGTTCCTCATCTATGGTAAGAAACGCTCTCCTGCTTCGCTACAAGACTGACAAAACATTAAATACTAATCCTGCCCTCTAAACCAGCTTGGGAAGAAACTCCAGCAGCGTCTTGACGTTCTTGCCGGTGGCGCTCGATGTCAGCACCCCGACCACCGCCTTGAACTGCTGGGTGCCGACTCCGACGCCAGCGCTGCCGTCGACCGTCGTCAGGACCATCTGGTACAGCACGTTCACGCTCGGGACGATCACCTTCGACGCCGCCTTCTCCACGCTCACCAGCTTCAGCTGGTGAACCGGGGCCCAGTGGTTGTGCGTCGTCACCGCGAAATCGGCGAACTCTGCCACGCTCCTCAGGTTGCTGATCGGCTGCCACCCGCTCAAGGGCGGCAGCGCGGGAAGCGGGGGAAGCAGGGGTGGAAGCAGGGGAAGCCCATCGGACGGCGTGGCTCCGGCCGAAAACGCGCCGGCGACGACGATGGAGACGAAGGCGAGAGTGGTGATCATTTGTGGCCTCATTGTCGATCACTTTTCCGACTGTCGTGACGTAATTTTCTGTTCTATGTGGAGGGATTAGTCGGAGGAAGTGTGTGTGATTGTGATTGTGGTTAGAACCGGCCACCGGAGGGGTATTTATATTGAGAATTTGGTGATTTTTTTGGTTGTTGCTATGTATGGAGATTAATGGCTTTGTTGTCTGCATGCAATACGGTTATTTATGGTCAAACGTGAACGGAAGTCGACCAGCTTCTTTTAATGATGTTTAAACGTAAGTTTTCACATCCAACAATTAACATAATTAAACCTTACTCTTTCACATCCAGATATGCATCCAAAATAAAACGGGCTTTTGATTTTGATCAAGCAAACTGACAAATTTTATTGATGAAAATTAGAGAATCTTAAATACAACGACTCTGACCACTGACTCGAGGCTAGGACTCTACTGGTGAAAACATATACAAAAAGGACCAACTCGAAACTTAACCAAAGCAACACATCAGCAACTAATCAACTAACGACTACTTTATTCAAAACGTCTTCTTCCTCTTTAGTTATCCATTCTTCTCTTGACAGTCACCGGCAACCCACCTCTCATCCTGAGAAGCAGCGATAAGCTGTAAGGCGGATCCACCATCCTCTCCGGGCTATTAGCACCTCCATCGGCGGCCACAACTTCAAACTCCGTCATCACCGCCGCCGCAATCGCTTTCATCTGCACAAAAGCCATCTCCTTCCCCAAACACATCCTCGGCCCGCAGTGGAAAACAGGGTACCTGAACTGATCCACGGACTCGTACCGTCCGTCGCAATCCAACCACCTCTCCGGCTTGAACTCCCGGCAATCCGGCCCCCACACTTTCTCCGACCGACCAACCGCGTAGGCAGAGTAATCGGCGAACCACCCTTTCCTCACCTCGGTCCCGTCCGGCCACACGTCGTCGTTTACCACTAGCCTCGTATTTTGAGCCACCGGCGGGAACAGCCGCATCGATTCCGATAGAGCCGCGTGCAGGTAATCCAGCCCCTTCAATTCTTCGTACTCGAATTTTTTCCTCTTTCCGAGCTCCGGCGACGCGAGGGCCGTTGACAGTTCGCGGTGGATCAGGTCTGAGACACGTGGGTTCCCGGCGATTAGCCAGAAGAACCATGTGAGGGCAGTGGAAGTGGTGTCCTTCCCGGCGAGGACGAAACTGATTACTATGTCTCTGAGAAATTTGTGCCTCTGTTTTTCGCCTTCGAACTCCATTGACGAGCTCCAAACCATGAATCTCGCCAGCAGATCTTGATGGTTCTGGATTTCGATTTCTTTTGATTCAATGACTCGACGAGCGAAATCGTTGATCGTGTTGACCGACTCTTTGAACCGCCTCTCCGACCCGAGATTGAGAAACCTCTTCATCTTCCAAAACAGAGGAACAGGGGAGGTGAACCTCGAGAAGCAAGTCTCCACGGCGTAGTCAAATGCGTTCATGAAATCGAGATCCTGGACAAACAATTCAGGATCCACACCGAACCCAACTCTGCAAATGCTTCTGAAAGCGAATTTATTCAAAACCTGCTGAAGATCGAAACCCCTGTTTTCCTCCTCTGCTTCGGACAGAAAGGGAAGCAAGTTTCCGGAGATCTCCGAGTCCACCACTTCCGACACGAACAGTTTTAGCGACCTGGTGGAGAACTCGTGGCTGGCGATTTTGCGCTGGACGGCCCAGATCTGGCCGTCGGCGTTGAAGATGCCGTCGCCGAGGAGGTCGTGGAGGACGGTGTGGAAGCGGGAGCCCTTGATGTAGCTGGAGACGTTTGGGGAAGTCAGCATGTGCTGGATGTTGTCTGGGTTCGAAGTGCAGACGCCGGTGGAGATGTTGAGTAAGGAGTTGACTTGGACGGACGCCGACGGCGTCCGGTGGAGCATCTCCGTGACCCAGTCGTGGAACCGGTGGAAGTTCCGGAGGAAGCTGATGATGTTTCCGATTACAGGGTAGGATCCTGGACATGGGTTTTTGGTTGCCGGACGTGATTTGAGGAGGAAGAAGAAGAGGATGGAGGTGGAGATTAAGAGTGATGAGATGAAGGTGAAGGAGGTGTATTCCAACATTCTTTCCTGACCTTGTGTTCTTTTCCTCTCTTGCTTGCTAGCCTTACAATTGTCTGATGGGTTATCTAACTACAGAGGAAGGCTGAATTGGCAGACGACATGGGCGAACCAAAACTCGACCTGGAAGATAGAGACAAACAGGTAGAGTCAGGAAAAACAGGGGCAGCCAAAAATGGTTATTCAGAGTGGTTTGCCACCGAACTAATAAGCATGTAGTTTGTCTCTGAAAGGAAAGAACGCTGTGGCGCAGGAAAGCTTATAATTTGCTTAAATGCAAACTCTTGAGAATAGAATTTTGCAAAAGGACAGGCAGACTAGACACGGGACACCGATTAGAAATAACTTATCACTAGTTTAGTTTGGCATATTGTTAAATAGATGGATAGTGATGAATCGATATGTTACAAATTCTCAAATGTCACATTTATGAAAATTAGAAGACATATGTGAAGAAGTGGAATGAACAAAAGTTATGAAGCACAAAAGCTAGTTAATTCACTCGACTGTCTAATTCAGACTCTTCGGTATGGAAATTGGCTAAAGGCCAGGCAGAAGAATGGACACCAATCTGAAAATACATTTTCACTTGTAATGAATTTACTTACAAGGCAGCTGCTTCTCCTTTCTCTCCCTCCACTCTTCAGACATCACGAAGAAGAATTTACATTTTTTTCACTATATTCAACCAACACCAAGTACATATAGGGGGCAAAAAGATTGGCAATCACTGAGTTCGAAAATGGTAAAAAAAAAAAAAAAAATTACAGCACAAGTTAAAAACATTCACAACCGAACCACTCTAACATCCCCTTTCTCCATTGGTGAGGGCAATACCCTTAGCTGTTAGGGTTTGCATCCTTTTACTTATATAGCCGAAGAGATCAGCTTAGTTGTCTCTACTGTAAACCCCGATGGCCACGTGGCAGCGTGCCACTGGCCCGTTACAATTAAGTACGGTTTACTTAATGGCTAACTACAGCTAATTAAAAGCGCTGTCATTCTCATTACAGGTTACTCAAAAACAATAAATAAAAAACGCGAAACGTTTCTTCCAATCCGAAACCTCCAGCCCTGAGTCCTTCCGCCACGAGGATTCGCAGTGCTGTGTTCTTCTTCTTCATCATTCTTCTGATATGGTCTATAGGTCGGTGACAATCTTCCGGCCCTAACTAGTGTGGCAGATCCTCGCCACCGATGCTCGACTTGTCGACCATCCTTACGTTGTACTGTTCGTAAACTCTTGCCCTGTTCTCAGCCCACCACTGCTCTGCCTGTTTTTCTGAAAATCGCTTCCGACTGCATTCTCAAAGTTACAGACTTTCAGTCGGATTGAAAGAAGAAAAAAAAGAGGGAGAACAGATGTAACTTCATCCTCGAGCTACTATTGGTTAACAGATCGATCCTAATTTCTGTTCAAAGTTGTGGATGACTTTAGATTGAATGAGTAAAAAAGAACGCACCTGAAGCGGACACGCTTGAGATCCTTGCCGCCGCCTGGCAAAGAGGTTAGTGTTATATACACGCCAGCCTCATCTTGCTCAACCCATTCAGCTTCAGTGTGCGATTCACCGTCTTTCGTTCTTCCACCGCCGTTCCTCAATGTCGATTCTGGGTGGCTTTGTTTGTTGTTGTAACCGGAACTAAGGCTGCTAGCGGTGCTGGAACCGTTGGGGAGTGGCTGTGGCTGGTTATTATTTAACACGCTCGTCGTGTCTAGCTCTTGGGATGTAACTTGACCATTTAAGCGGTCCATGGCAGCATTATTGGTAGGCATCTCATTCGGAGGATTGTATCCGAAAGAAGTGAAGGAAGGTGTCTTCACAGTCCTGGTTGCTCCCACGGGTAGTCTTTCTGCCATGTCCTTTAACTACCGAATGAAACAATAGACGAAGTCAGCAAAAAATGAAATAACTGCCCTTTATTTGGAGTGAACAATGCACCACATATAACATATAACCAATGGTGGCTAGTTTAGTATCTACAGGAAAACATCAAAACTCGTCTTACTTGAGCAGTGAGTGACTTGATTACTTCCTTTGCTGCTTTGCATTTTGCAGTTTCCTCTCCTGCAACTGCAATTGCTTCCTTCAACTGTTTAGTTGTTCTTTCTAGCTCCACTTCTTGAAGGTGAGCTTTGTGAGTTAAACTTTCGACCTGAGATGCAATTTGGTTAGAAAGCACTGACGTTTGTGTTACTTCAAACAAACCAGTAAAGCAAATCAGTATACGATCCTGATAAATCATAAATGAAAAGTTATACGCTCCATGCCACCATCATTATACAAGTACATAAACATCCATTGAATATTATCAGCAGCATTGCTCCCACAAATAGGAAAACCCCAGTTAACTAATGAGTAGGGTGGTTCCAAACATAAGCCAAATGAGCACAACAATGAGATTCAGGACCTATACAAACAAACGAGTCTGGTCTAGAAAGATGCGTCATCCATGGAGCACAAAACCAGAATTGTACAATATGGAATCTTGTGCATCTTTAAGCTCAACTTTGTAACTGACCAGTTGAAATGAAAGCAAGTATACATGTCCCGCAAATAAATCACTTCCAAATATTATTTCCACCTTCGAAAAGATATTGAAGTGACATGTGGAAAATAAAGCCAACAGTTAACTACATTTTCAAAAATCAGGTGACAAAAGGAAGGACCAGTACCTGAGAGCGTAACTTAGTAACCTCTTGGCTAAGACTGTCATTAGCCGTTTTATTATCATCAACTGCGATTTTGGGTGAAGTAAGGCCGCCCAAGGTTGGTGATGGTGTTGTTGACCTCGGTGGACTGGGCCGTCTAGATATGGGAGAGGTTGCTCGGGAAACAATTCTTGATCCAGGAACCGAGGCAGAGAAGAATTTCTTGGATGAACCTAACATTGGATTAAAAGATTTAGAAATATTCAGTCCTCCCCACTGTGACCCTCGATTTGGAACCGGCGACACACGGTTGCTGTTGAACTCTAGTTTTTTGTTTTTCCTGGATCGACTGTCTGCTTGCTTGAAAGACTCCATTGATGAAAATCTAGCAAGTTGTGCACGAGATCTCGAATCCAACTTTTCGTCTTTATCAGTAGGATCATTCAAGCCATGATTTATACTACCTCTTCTACTAATTGAGGAATGAGGCGACGGTGCCTCAGTATCCATGGCCTTCCTAAGTTTATTAAAGCAAGTATCACAAACACGATAGGGCTTGTGCGGATTTGGAGCCATGGAAGCTTTAAGCGACTTCTTGCTGCTGCATGAGTGACAGAAAACTAGTCCACAATTATAGCAATTGTGCCGTTTGCGTTTGAAATTGAACGGTAGCCGACAACCAGAACACATAGACTGATCAACACCTGACACCCACTTATGAAGGCATATAGCTGCAGTGAAATTAGCACCACATGCAATACTTTTAACTTGCTTGTCCTTCAGAGCTTCCACCAGTGTAGGAGAGTTTCTGTCATCCATATCCCCATGACCCAACCTACCATTTGCTCCCTTCCCCCAAGTATAAACTTCAGTTCTGGAAGTTAGAACTGCAACATGATAAGCACCACATGCAATCTCCTCAACAAAATTCTTTAACAGTTTCCCTTCAACACGGGCGGGCAGCTTCCCATCAGCTTGTGGGTTCCCTAGTTGACCATAAACAGGACTACCCATGGTATAGACCTGGCCAGATGTTGTGAGAGCAACTGTCAGGCTGTGCCCACAAGCAACTCTACAAAAGTTGGGTTCAACCAGAGCAGCAACACAAGTAGGAACAAGTTTGGCTTCCTTGTCACCATGCCCCAGCCTTCCTTTATCTCCATCCCCCCAGGTGAACAACTTACCAGAAGAACAATTGCTAGAACTCGAATTACCAACCATGACTTCTACAACTGCAGCAGTATGCCAAACGCCACATGCTGCTCGTACTGTTCGGAGCCCCTTGAGAGATTCCACTTCCCTTGGCAGCGACACACTTTTCCTGTCTCCATGACCAAGAACACCAAACGTGCCATCACCGAATGTCAACAATTGCCCAGAAGATGTTACAACTGCTGTATGCCAAGGTCCACAAGAGATAGATGATACATGGATGCCTTCCAAGGGCCCATTCACTCTTTTTGGGACCCAGTGACTGACTACGTTTCCATGTCCAAGAAGACCAAAATTGTAAGTTCCATCACCCCAGGTATACAAATCACCAGAAAGCGTAACAGCACAAGTGTGATATTCACCACAAGCTACTAGCTCAATGTTTGTATTGCTAAGAGCATCCAAAAGTTTCGGATGCATGACATCAGAATCGACACCATGCCCAAGTCTGCCTCCCGATTCCTCTCCCCAGGAGAAAATCTCGCCTTGCTTGGACACCAAGGCTGCATGTCGGCTGCCACAAGCAATGTTCTGGACATCAAGTACAACTGTAGATTCTAAGGCTTTAGGCAACAACGAATCCAATTTGACACCAGCACAATTCCCAACTCTTTGACCTCCACCACCTAGGACACCCTCTCCAGTTCCTTCACCCCAAAGAAAAACGTCCCCAAGGGCATCACCATCGTCATGACCAGAACCTTGGCTTGATGTGCTGACAGCACTGGATAGGCTAACTCTAAAAGCATCCATCCCCAGTCCCTTTGCATGACCATGCATACTATCTGAACCCCCAGATGACATAGAATGGACTGAAGCACCAGCAGAATCTGAGGGGAAAACCCCTTTAGGTTGAACAGCATAAAATATCACATCGGAGAAAGTCTTATCGAGTCCATTCTTCGGTGGACTTCCATATGGACTGTGAATACGAAGGTTTTCTCCATCCTGAACGAGGACACAGGAGTCCTCTAATGAATGTCACGCATAAAGGAAGGAACAAGAGGCAGCAGTGATGAATTCAAGGAAGGAGCAAAGTGAACAATAGAAGCGTGTACCTTTTGAAAACTGTCATTACTCCCAAATGGAGAATTCAAGGGAGAACTTCTACGAGTATATGTCCTAGGACTGTTCGCTTCAGATGGAATTCCATCACTCCTCGATTCTGTTCTCCATTTCCGGTTATGACTGCGTGATATTAATGCTTTTAAACCACTAAACCACACCTCAGCCTCGTCTTTATCTTTGCAAATCTGGTAAAGAGATATGATAAACATTAGAGTTCGTCGTTGAAGCCATGAGCATGTAATGAATAAATCAAGGTGCATGCTGCAAGCCTGCAACCATCCTTTAGGTAATCAATTGTATAAAGATACGCACTTCTAGCCAGAAATAGGTTCCTTAAAGCATATAATATCTTACCAAATCCAGTGATCTGTCATTATATATAAGAGAAAACGACTGGTATTCCTTCTCAGGACGTGGATACCTCTGAAAGATTGGCTGCAAAAGTTTTCACTGGTCAGTGAACATTGAAAGATAGCCTTTATTCTTCTCAGTATATCAAATCGCAAAATGGCAGAAATAACAGAAAACTAATAATACCACTGATACCTTCACTAAATAAAGCAATCTAAGGAAATGGTACAGATGAGTCGTGAGAAAAGTTTCTTCAAGACTATCAACATATTAAGCAGTAAAATGGAGGATAGTCGTACATGTAAAATTAACAATATATTATAGTCCAAGTGCTAAACTGGCAACTATGACCCAAAAGTCAATCGAGATATAAAAATCTATTTCATTCCAGCAAAAGAAGTCAAAATGAGACTAGTCTGAAAACTTCAAAACTAACAGTTTACCGAATTATATTTCAACACCTATAAATTAAATTGAATTAAAGAAACTCACAGTGCGTTGCCCAGATATAATTCTAGATATGTGGCTTAGCTTGAGATGCTTCTCCTCTTTCCCTGAGAACCAAATCAGAACAGACTCGTCCTGAAACGAATAAAAAATCAGTATCATCTCTTACAAGTCATATCTACAAGCTGGATAAGAGCAAGTAAGTTGAATATAGGCCAATCACTTCACATAGCTTGAAATACTGCCATTCACCACTTCAGATATCAAGATTATCCACTCAAATGGACAATATAAACACTTTTGATGGTTGCTATAACCTTACCAAAATAGGAAAATGAAGTTTTATTTTTGTTTATAGCTGTAGGTCATGATAATTGATGGCTATCAGACAGGGTGGAATATATTAAAACGCATGGAGAGGGTAGCTTGTAGGAGTTTAGGAGTGATAATTCAGAAGGCATCACATGTTAAATAGCTAACAAAACTTGGCACACTTTACATTTGAAAGGCGGAAGGGACAAAACTTTGGCTTCCCCCTTCTTCCATACTTCAGCAAGTAAGCTCCTTTCTTCAGAGCAGTGATGGCCTGTTTTGAAATTGAAAGAAAATGAAATTTAGTACCTCATAGTTTGCACTGCTCAAAAACCATCCATACTACGCAGATACTGGAAGAGCAAACAATAGCACTCCATAACCATCCAGTTAGTTCTAAGTTGGATAAAGAGTTATCTGTATAAGTTCATTTTACTTGTCTACCTAGATAGAAATAAGCATTGCCTGCAGACAAGTGCAGTTCATAAATATGACGTATTCTTTGGGAACGGTATTCTTTGGTTCTTCCTCCATTCTACCGAAGAAAAATCCTACGTTCCAATTCTCTCAAACATTCCAGAAGCCCTATTTTCTCTACATGACCCTAGGCACTTAACCTCAAGCTGTGGCATCCACCACCATACCGGATCATGATGTGAACTAATTACAGAATGTTGAAGCATAAACACCTTCGCCTACCAAACGTTTGACCATTTCACTAGCAGTAGCCAACCACAGCGGGTGACAATTCCCCTAATCTCACCGATCATTCACCGCGGTATAGAAATCAATACAACTACCGAGGAGCTGCCACCGCCACTGTCCTGATCAAGCCAAACATAGTTTCACTATCTGCATAACATCTCATTTGTTTACTACTAACTGTAATCACTAGGCAGGACTGTTCGTAGATCAATGCTCTCTATCGTTAACAATGTCAGGCCCGGCCCCCTGAACCATAGCCTTCCAATCTTGAACACAGCCATCCAATTGGCGGAGTAACACCAAAAGATCCCGTTCAAGAACATGCCAGATTTGCAGAGAAAATCATCACATAAGACCGAATTGACAACACGGAATTCACCACTACTGCTGATAGTCCAATCTGGCTCACTCGGCAACTAGTTGAGCTAAACATAGCAACATAGCAATCCAGAAAAGAAAAGCAAATCAAAAGCCACGAAATCAGGTACCTGCTCAATATCCCTTTCAGCAGCGCCAGTCCTACTGAGATCCGCAGCCATTCTATCCGGCGGCGACATTCCGACGGCGTAAAATCCTGGAACCGAGGAAGCTACACAGCAGCAGCAACGACACTGCAGTACGCCTCCCGCGCATTCTCAATCAAGCAGCAGCACCGTTCCATCCACCAGACTTATAAAAAAAACCCTAGCGAATCCACAGAATACTGCTACAACAGCAACTCCAGCTCTCGGAAGTAGAGACCGTCGCCAGTACAAAGAGATCACACAGCTCGAGTCCAAACGAGCTTCAAGTCTCCACCTCCCGCCGCAGCTCAATTCTGAAGTAAGCGCGAGATTTTGACCAGCACTGTAGCGAAGTGGAGCTGAATGCTCGGCAGCAGCTGGGGGGAATTGGAAGAGAAAGGAAAATAGGCACGCAAGGAATCGATTCCGGTCGTCGGTGGGGCGAGCAACAGTGGGATTCCGGCGAGTGCGGAGGTGGAAGAAGAAGGACAAGGGGCAGGTGTTGGTTTGCTGTTTGGGGAAGGGAGAAGGAGCTCGAGAAAATGAGAGTATGGGAGGAATCCAGGGGGCTAAACGACAGAAAATGATCCGAGTTACCTATGCAAGTAAACAAAAAAAATTTGTTTGAGCGCAGAGAGGAAAAGGGAGGAAAAAGGCGGAGAGAGAGAGAAGGCAGAGACTACGCTCTCTTTTTCTTTTAACTTTTCTTTTCTTTTTCTTTTCTCGGTCTAACAGATGGGAAAAAGAATATCCAGAAATTAATTAATGGGCGTGTGGTTCGTTAGAACAAATATTGGGTGTGTATAAACGGATTTTTTATATTAATATTAGGTTTTCAAATCAATTCTATGATTGGTAGACTTCGTAAACCAGTTACCAACTTATCACCAAAAAAAAAAAAATTTAAACGGAGGAGAAGTGGAGAACCATAGTTATCAATTTATCATACAAATTTTTTGCAATGTAGGAGAAACTTTGCCTACAATGGTTATTGACGGTAATACCAGGTCAATTCTACCAAAATAAGTAATATTAGATTAAACTACGGGATAATGTCTAAAGACTGACGGTATTAGGAGCGGGGTGATGACGCGGAAGCTGTCTAGGCATCTCCGCTAATGAATGGATCACTATGGTCGTCAAGATTCGAACACACAATCTCTCGGATCATTGTGTGTTGTTTCACCAGCTAGCTTGCCATCATTCACCGTTATCATACAATTCGTTTAAGAGTAAACATGATAAAATTCACTGTATTTTGACATTAAACTTTGACGTTGATAATTATCTAATAAAGAGGAGATAAAAGTGAAAAAGAGAGGTAAGTACATATTATCACAAAAGTAGTCTATCATACTTAACCAATGTGAGTTGGCCTTTGAATGATTTGTATGATTATATAGTTTTGTTCGTTCAAGAACGAATAATGTGTTTCAAACTATTATCAGAACTCTTTATTTTAGGTGCATTTATGAATGAAATGCCATGTTAGAAAAAAGATAGATCATCGCCTTGTAGTGCTCTGTGTCCAAATTAACCTCACCAATATAATCATCTTTGTGATTTAAGTATAACTAACCTAATTTTACATAGGAGATGAGTTGTTTTAACACCAGGAAAGTTCCCCCGGGTTTTACCGAAAACTGATTTACAACTCTTATGAAAAATGATATTACTAACGGATTCTTCCAATGGTTATTAGTAAACGCTCACTCACAGTCACGGCCTCATAGGCTCTATCAAATCAACAACTACTCAACTTAGCAACGACACTACACCTCTCAGCCGATAACGATAATTTCGACGATTGGTTGACTTAAACGGAAAAGTCTAAGACTAGAAAAAGGAGAGGTGATTCTTTTTGTACACTAATAAAAAACATATACGATGGTTTTCTTTTTTCTGATGATGGACCATTATATATACGATGTTGATGTTGGGCAGGGGAATGAGATGCATATTCGAAGGAAGAAGAAAGCAAGAAAGGAAGAAAAAGAGGTGGTACATAGTAGCATGTGCAAAAGCGTGGGTGGAACTGCATAGACGGCCATATTATCCCTCCTTCCCTCCTTAACACAAGTGTTACATCAATTTCCAATCCAATCCCCACCCTTTACTTTGGTGGCAGCCACCATCCACCACCAGCGATTCTGCGCTTTTTCCTTCGACAAACAGTTTGCCCCAATTCTCTCCCCCACTACTATAGTAGGAAGAGGCTACATTATAGGCAGGAAGTTTATGGTCCCCAACCACAAAGCTTTCTTTTTTCCATTTATCCCTCCCAAACTAGATCGGTTACAACTTTCATGGTTTCTAGCTAGGATCCCATCTATGGTTCTATGTAGGCCTCCGATCTCGAACCTATCGAGTGAAGCCTACAAATTCGATAAGAGTCCAAATAAATTGGAGGGTATAAGTTTTCAAATTCGATAAGAATTTGAGCGCACCTCGTAATAGATTTTCAATCTTTTATCTCTCCCCGAATTTGGAGCATACAAGTGCTGAGAAAGTACCGAACCTAGCATCGGCACACGACTAGGCTTTGAAGAACCAAAGTCTGGGTCGCGGAGAAATTGACTTCTATAGAGAACTAATTATAGTGCAATGAACGACTAACTAGTTGAGTGGACAAATATATAGAAACGGTACGCGTGCCTAGCGAATTCATTTATATATATATATGTATATATGCTTGTCATGTGTGTAGCTGACCTATCGCTCTCTTCTTTCTTTACGACTTCGTCTTGCTTTAAGCTAAAATCAATGATCAATGATCATCCTTCCTTTCCATAAGCTTACGAGCTCACTCAAAGGGATTGTAATTTGTAAGAATTAAGAAAATAACCCGATTTATGATCCATCCGCATTATTTTTTCTTTGTGGAATGCGAAGAAAAGGTGACTGAATGGGTGCCGGAGATTAGGAGTGGGCATTCGGTCGGTTCGGTTTCGAACGAACTGAAATTATAAATATGTAATTATATGCATCATCAATGATAAAATCAAACTTTTCAACATATAAGTCATAAAACATTTCAAATATTTAAGTATAAAATCAACTACAAACATAAAAATCCACCATTTGGAGCTTTCAATTATAGTATTTCGGTTTTTCGGTCGAAAATTCGATAATTCAGTTCGATTGAAAGAACCCTGGTTTCCGAACTATCCATATTTCCTTCCAAATTCCGAACCGAATAGCATTAATTGAGTTTTTTCAGTTTAGTTCGGTTCGGGTTTACCAAACCGGTTGCCCACCCCTACCGGATATCACTCAAAAGAAAATGGAGAGAGCTGAGAGTGGTGGGCTTGGAGTTGTAACGCGGGCTCGGACAATTGTGTCGGAATGTGATCTTCTGCCTCGGCCCATATCCGTAGTTTGTCTTTGTCCTGCGCAGTTAAACATTGCGGGCTTTGGAGAGGGCCCATTGGACTGATACCCAAATTTTGGTTGGTCTCCCCATGATTTCCATTTTCCTGCCTAACTCTACAGCAATAGTTGACTTGGACAGCAGACAAAGAAAACAGAGCCTAAAAAATTGGCCCAGCGGGACTGGAAGAGTGAGAGACTGAGAGGAGAATGTAGGCTGCTGGGCCGGGCCTTTGGGCACTATACTATAAATCTTAACGACTAAAATCTAAGCCCTAATTTTATAAATCTATATCTAACATACTACATCTACATGCAACATCTTATGGTTAAAAAAAAAAAAAATCATTGACATACTAGATGTACCATCTTACAATTTAGGATTAGGTTTTAGAAGATTATAATCTGTGATCAAATCATTAAGAGTTAGAGTATAGTAACATTTTTCTAAATCTCGATAATTCGAGTGCTAAGTATTGTTTTCTCACTAGGTTAGTGAGGGTAGGGCATTTGGTTGTGATTCCCTATTTTCTAGCATCATCACAAGATGCCAAATAGAGAACCGTAAAAGGGGAACCCCAATTAATTATCGAACATTGCAATTAAACTAAAAAGCAGTAATTAAGAACATCCGTACGTAAAATATGAAAAGATTAACAGCAAAAAGCCATTGCACGAGAGAGAGAAGAGGAGCACTTTTGGCGGGCAGCCCCAGCGGCTGGGCGTGGAGTTGTGCCTAAAAAAAGCAGACAAAGTGGCCACCTAAATTACAATTAATTAAGCCCTAAAGCCAGCTTGAGGCACATTCTATTAAACTATTATTATGTTTCTCTTTGCCGGCCAATAGTTTCACACTTGATGATGGGCCGAAGAACAAAGGCAGCAAAAAACAACTGCGCTCCACTATTCTAATTATTCTTAAACATCAACCCCCAACATGATCAATAATGCACACATTATATCCACACTTTTGGGTAAACCATTACGGTGGGGGAATGAGTAGGTTGGATGAAAGTTCATTTGAAATCGACATAGTCGTTTACTAACGAGTTGGTACCGTTACGATCCCGTTATTTATTTATACCAGTAATTTTGCGCCTAGTTAAAAGAAAGTTCGATTAACATATTTAAAATAAATTTCTCGTAAATTAGGATGACACTGTCAGTTTAGACTTTAGTAGGCACTTCTCACTTTGTCTCCGATGTATTTGTTCGGTACATGGGATCATGTAAAGTATTATTATTTTTTTGGAACTCGTACCAAATTTTCAATTAACCACTCTATTTGTGCATAAAATCCCGACGCTCTTTATGACCTTGATACAATCGACAATAGCAGCAGTTCAAAAATATTATTTTTTTTTCTCTTTAAGAAGCATAATGGTCAGTATGTGGTGCGGTTAGAGAATATGAGACTTATCCAATAGTATAAATATGAAACAACTCCTTGTCACGTGAAAAAAATATGATGTGAATCACTCAAATGACGCGCAACCCACACACCATCAACCAGAACAAGTGCAGATAAGAAATTCTCGATCGCGATCCAACCACTACAGCTTGAGATCATCTGCGGATAGTTAGATACTAGTGTGGGCCCCGACCATTTGGTCGGAGTAAGGTGAGATATGAAATTTGATAATGTAATGGGGTGTATAGCTTATTGTTGTATAGTTTTTTTTTTGGGAAACACGTGATAAAAATAGTGAATTTTAGTAGGAAAGAGACATGAATGAGGCAACGAATCAAAAATCAGCCTTATGAACCAAAATCAAGTACCTGATACCTTGTGAAACAATATTGTTTCTGGTAATATGATGAGGTGGAGTAAGTTTTGTAGAAACCGAATTCCAGAAAATCGAATAAAAAATCGCCTATCCCGCCGGTTTTCGGGAAATGAGCATCTCACAATCGTTGCTAGCTTTTACTCGACCCGTTGGCCGATTAATTTGCTTTATAAACCTTTCATAATGTCATCATTGTGCTTTCTGGTTTTTTTGCCAAGCCATGATAAAATCTAAAGAAATCAAGAATGAACAACACGATTTGGGATAGGAACCACCGTTCTTGTATCCCTAGAAAATGGTGGTAAACACAGACTCACCTACCAAATTGGTTTGGATTGAGATTTTTATCGGGTATCAGGGAACCATGTGATTATAAATTAGACTTGATCAAAACGGGCCAAAACTTGAAATTCAGCATGTTTGACCGACCCATGCCAAACTCTAATTATTCTTTACTTTTAAACTTTTTATTTGAAAATAAAAAATAATGAAAGAAAAGAGATGACTGCAATTCGTCATTTGCACATCACTGATCCGGGAATAAAACTATAGAATTTCGAAACGAAACTGAAAAAGTTTAGGATCGTTTTAATGTTAAAAATAACCAAATAGATCTTTCTGTTTAGTTTTTTACTAACAAATACCAAACGATTCTCTATAATATACACTATAATTTAATCATTATGATGTCAAATAATTACATAATATATATTTGAAATGATAAAAATTGGACTAATTGGGTTGGTCGAGGTTGAACCATTGAAGAACTTTAAAATACATTATATTTTAGCCACTAAGATATAAAATAATAGCATAATATATATTATGCTAGAGAAAATAGCTTGTTTTAGAATGACAAACCCATGATGTTCATTTGTTTTACTTGATGGGCAAATCCCGTGTAGGTCAGGCCCATTCAACTCTTTTATTTTATGATTAGCGGTTAGCCCATTAGAATTCATGCATTAGTTTATTGTTAAATTTTTTCTTTTTAGCAATAAAAAGGAGTATTGTTTTTGCCTTTTCATATATATTTTACCACCACGGAGAAATAAAAGGACTTAAAGAAAAAAATTGACACTCCTGACCCGTTAAATCCACATGTGTCGATAAGTTGGCCTGTTCCACAGAGGAAAAAAGAAAAACATTGACACTCCCTATTCTACCCTTCCTACAAACGCTCATGGAGCAGGGAATTTGAAATGGGGAAGAGTTTTTTCCTCTCTGCGATTAAATATTTTAAATTTTAAAAAATACAACAAATGTACTTAGTGTGATTGGTTGTGATCTTTGCTTTTCATTAAAGTGGTCATGGTTCGAATCCTAATAAGTGCCTTTTTAATGAATAAAAAAAAAGTAATTGTGAAGACTAAAATGTCCTTCCTACTTTCACTCTGGATGCAGGAAATTTGAAATGGAGCTTCAAGTTTTCTCATTTGGCTTTTATTTATTGTGTAGATCAAACCGTGGATTAACCACTTACATGCTGCTCACCACACGAGTAACCATGAACATTTTGTTACGTGACACGTAATCCTATTACTTTCCGCCGAACAATCCCATGCACATGACACAATCTATGTCTCCTCTCCTACAGGGAGAGAGAGAGAGATCCAGCTATGGCAATGAGGGGAGGGAACAAACCTGGTCACTGGACGGAAAGCATAACACACAGACAAAGCAAGTAATTAAATAGAAAAAAGCCCACTAAGTGCATGAACCCATATATGTATTAAATTTAATTCGTTATTATACTCTTAACATGATCGAGTACTGGCTAGTTAGTCCACAATTGTAGACTAGCCAGCTAGGGTTACATTTTCTGCAAAAAAAGAGGCATATGAATACATTATCTTGATCTGACACTTGCCAAACCAAAAACCCCAAGTAATTGTATAATGCCAAGCTTAGAATTAGACATTATTCTTCTCTGTAGGAACATGTCTTTCCTGATTCCTCCATACATTCATTGCATAGTTCTCTACTTCATTATGTTGGAAGTGTGATCCAATGCATAAACAAAAAACTTAATACAAACCTATATCTAACAACAACATTGGTTCTCTCTTGGATTCCATCACTACTCAGATTGTGTACATTATATAATGGCCTCTTCTCTTCCCCTATAAAATCAAATCAAATCAAATCTAACCACACCTAATCCTTCTCTTCCCTTATAACTCTTTTTCGATAGATTGGCTCGCTCGTAAAACTGTTCTGAACCTTTTGGTGCACATTGCGTTCTAGAGTCTGACTCCGTGACTTGATATAGAGTTTTGTATGAGTTAGTGGTGTACTCAACACCATCTTCTCAAAGATAGACTGCTTAATTAAGTAGATCAAGGTAAGTTTTTTTGTTACGAAATGTTTTCACAAACCACAATCCGAGGGTGATTAATTACTTGCGTTCGTTAATGACCAAACAAAATTGGTATTGTAGTTGTCCGCCAACACCTCATAACCCTCGTGTATAATATCTTCATTTGACTTAGGCGTGGAAATTGTCACGTTGCCAGTATCCACTACTATATACCGAAATAGCCATAAACATCCCAGTCATAAATTAGTTATGTATTTCAATCTCAATTCCTAATATTTTGTTCAATATCGAAATATATACCAAATTAATTCCATTCAAAAATACCAATCAAATATAGAAAATCAAATACTTATCTTCCGCCAATAACTCCACAAAGCATTCTCGAAATATGTAAAAGCAAACAACGGTGTCAACACTCGTGCAAATCAAATGAAAAAAAATATGAGTTATAATAACAATAAATTAGAGAAATGTGGTGCCTAAGAAACAAATAAACAAACTAAAGCAAAAACTAAAAAAGGGCACGACTAAGCAACCAATAAACATACTACCAGTAACGAAATGTGCTTAGTCTCGGTTGTCAAATAGTGATGGAATATGCTATGTATAATTAAGGAGATCGTTTTGGTGGTTGAAGATCTCGTGAGAGCATAGTTGATATATTCTATCTTATATGTTGGTATTCTGCAGTATTTAGTATTTACCGATCCCAGTCCAATAACCCTAATATCAAATAACAATTGAAATTCAATCACAATCCCATGAAATAATAGTGCATTCAGTAATATCCAATATCGAAAAATTCAATAAACTACTCGATATATTCCAAATACCGATGATAAATTCCCAACTTACTAAGACCTATTGAGCCCTCAATTCCTGCCGTATTCAAGGACTCAAGCTATAAAAAAAAAAAATATTCGATTCACGAAACATGCAACATGTTTTACGAAGGTGGTTTTTTTGGCCACATTGAGAGGAAAATGGTGCAACGAGGAATTGAAGTGGGCTGACAACGACCTCTCTCTAAGATTGGCCCTTTTTTCACCCTCACGATCCATTTGTTGGGCAACAATTAATGAAAGAGACGTCGCAACTACTTCGCAGCAGCAGCAGCAATGGAATGCTTTGCTTGCTTGCTAAAGTCCTAAAGCAGCAGAATTTGTACATTTATTTATATATCATTAATGCACACTGTCAAGCTGCTACATGCCAACAATTTTGATCAAAGGGAACTGAACCAAAACAAACTCAGCTAACATCTAACCAGGAAACGTGACTGAACTGGTTGCAGCAGCAGCAGAATGTTAGATCTCAACCATGAAAAAGGAAAACCCATTTTCGTATATCAACTGAATTGAATTGCAAAATGAAGGGAGAATATTTGCAGAAGCAATAGTGGGTTCCTTCAATGCAACTTCCAAATGAGGAAACAAAGTTGGAAGACGAGAATTAGCTAATAACGAATGTAATTATCAAATAAATTAAATTAATATTATTATATATTTACTTAACAGGTAACTGGGTAAATAGTGATGGATGGTTTCCAGCTATGAAATTCTTCTGTTGATGATGGGATCATTTTATGCTGTAATGCAGTAAATGGTGTCACTTTTTGTCAAACTCGAGCCACTGTTGTCACCGAATACAAAGAAAGCCTGAAAGGGTAATAAAAGCAGAAGAAAGAATAGGGAAGAAGAAAAGACCTTAGATGGAAAGAAAGAAAACAACAAACTCCCAATAATGCTACATAAACACAGCACGCGAAGAGATCATCGTAATTCATAAATCTCTTCGCCGAGAATTAAACCCTAGGTTATGAAGAGTCGGAAAGCAGTAAGAGCTAGCTTAATACCAACGAGAATCAGTTCATCTCAATAATTAGACAATGCTGCACAAAAATGGAACGAGCGATCTTAGCTTGTATTTTAAACTATAGATAATAATAACAAGCTATAAATTGTCCATATATGTTGAAAAGACTTGTCAATGGCGTTGGAAATTGATGACAAAGATCATGCACCGACTCCTTCCTTCCAAAGTGGAACCAAACAGGGATGGATGGATGATCATCATCATGAGCAGCAAAGAAAAAAAGAGCTCCCAACAAAGGAAAATAAAGAGAATAAATAGATCACATCACGCATGTGAATGTTTGGCGGAAAAAAAGTAGTCATTATAATTACAATAATGAACTGATTAAACATGAAGAAAGAAAAAAAGACAAGAAATATGAAAAAGAACTAATTAACAACACAATAAAACACAGTTATGGCGGGAGAAATTAGAGATGTCCCAATATCCAGCTAAACAAAAAAGACTAGGGAAAGATAAGAAAGAACCCTACAACAATTAATTAGCAGGCTATTAGGGAGTAAACCAGTTATTAGTGAAGGGGTTTCACTAGTGAATTAAAGAAACCTTTCTGTGTGTGTGTGCTGTTTCCTCTCATCAGATCATCGATCAGTTCATGGGATGTCCATACGTCGATCCTCCACGCAACCCGCCGGAAGCACCACCACCGTAAACATCCGACGGATCCATGATCGGAGACGAAGATGAACCACCGCCGCCGCCACCTCCTCCTCCGCCACCCAAATGCAACTCAGACAAGTTGGGGAAGGTCCCATCTCTTGTACTGCTACTGGTTTCAGGTCCTTGATTATACAGAACTCCTTTGAAGACGTGGCCTCCAATCTTCACCACCGCCTGATACGCATACTCGTCCTCCCCATCCTCCACCGCCGTCACCCTTACGCACCTGAACACCGCCGGCGCACGTACTTGTCCCGGCAGGGACTCCCTCATTACTCCAGCATCTGAACATATGAGCAGAAGCAAATCAGAAAAAGCTAACAAGAAAGGGTACCCATTCGTGTCTAATATTTTAGCGGATGATGTCGGTTCAAATTGTTCACACATTTCGTACAATTTATCATCATATATATATGTTCCTCCCACAGTGATGTTATGATCATACATTGAACATCAGCACTGGCACCAATTTTGCTTCCCAGTAACTGCAGCAAGTATTTCTAAAATCGTAACGGATATCAAATTGGTGAGACCAATGTTTAATGTATTGACACCAAAATTATGATGAAGAAACATGATAAGATTCGTGATAAAACTATACGAAATTCATCTGACTAAACCAATAAACGAAATCAGTAAAGATCAGTAGGGCATAATGATGAGCATCTATGTGATTTTACTGGAATAATTTCGTTATCACACTTCTACTATATATATTGGATTGGAAGTCTTGCTCATTTGATTTGCAGTAACACGCTTCGACAAAGATTGATAACTAATCATGGGAGGTTTTGAAATCACAAAAAGAGACGGAAGTTGTTTACAACAATGGCTATACCTTGATGGCTGGAAGTGGTGTCGAAGCTTCTTGACGGAGTGGTGTTGGAAGTGGAAGTATGGGAAGTGGTGGTGGTCTGAGAAGCCGTAACGAGCCTAGGTTTCTTGGCACCAGAAGTAGACGCAGAAGACCCGCCGGCACCACCACCACCACCACCACCGGTCGACAGCTGCTGCCGCTCCCTCCGCCGCGCGGCGGGAACCCACGTGCTCTTCACGTGGGTCGCACAGTCAAACCCTCGGCTCTTGCAGCAAGTCCGGCACCTCCGGTGCGGACAGTCTTTCTTCGCCTGGTTCCCGCAATCCTGACACGTCGCCATCGAGCTCGAACTCATCATCATCCCGCCGCCACCAATTACTCCCCCACCTCCACCGCCGCCTCCTTGAAGCAGAACCGCAGAATTGTCGTCGAGATTCGGAGGGGAAGCATTACTCTTCTTCATGCTGCTGTTATTATTGTTAGAATTAGAAAACTGCTGCTGGCTCTGCCAGAACTGTATCCCGCTACTCACCTTCCCGCCGCCGCGGACGGCGTTAGGGTAGCACCCGCCGTCGTCGTCCGGCGGGAGGCAAGGAGCGGCGGAGAGTAGCGGGATTACGTTCACGCCCATCCCAACCCCGAGGGCGGTGGAGGAAATTGGATCTGAATTGGCGAGATTGATGTCGTGGCCGCTGTGGTGGTGGTGGTAAGGAGCGACCACGAACATGCCCATTTCAGGAGGAAGTCCATAGTTAATATGTTGTTGCTGCTGCTGCGAGTGGTGGTGGTGGTGGTTGCGAGAGTTGGACCAGGTGGCGCCGGTGACAACGGAGGAGGGTGGAGCGGCGGCAGCGGAGGGGGCGGCATTGAAGCCGAGGGAGAGGTCGTCGGAGTGGATGGCTGCTGACGTGGAGGGCGTCCAGTCAGCGAAGGCCCCGGAATCGGCGGATAACAGCAGCTGCCTACCACTGCCACTACTGGCACCGCCCCTTGCAGTAGCCACAACTGTTGATTTTTCCTCTTCCCCCTCTCTTCCTCTCTTTTATTATTATTTCTTTTCATACACCGCAGAAACGACAAACGATGGAGAATAAAAAGAAAAGCAATGTAGACAGGCTCTAGAGTCTAGAGAGAGAAAGAGGAGGGAGAGGAGAAGGAGAGAAATCTGCTGTATCCTACAGCCCAACCACGCGCAGAGAGAGAGAGAGAGAGAGAGAGGGACAGAGAAATAATAATTAGGGTGAAAACGAAGGGCTCGAGGAGATCTTGTAGGGAATCCAGAGAGAGAGGCGGAGGCAGCAATTATAGATGAAAGAGAGAAGGAAACTTGGATACACAGTGAGTTGAAGCAAGCAAGCAAAAAACAAAAAAGAAGGAAAATGAAAGGAAGCCGAAAAAGCAAAAGGGAAGGGAGTAGGGCAGTGCAGCTGGGCGGTGAGAAAGGTGGAGAAGAAGAAGGGGGGAAATGAAATCTATGAGACGTGGGTGTTATGTGTAGTTGTGTGGGGTCGAAAAAGGAGGGCTCTGAAATTGTATCAGAAGGTCGAGAGGAAGAAGAAGAAGTAGAGAGAGAGAGAGAGAGAGAGAAGCAGCTTAGGCTTATCTTCTGCAAGAAAAAAAAAATTTGATTTGAGTTTTTTTTCTTCTTCCTTCTATCAGTGCTTATCTGCTCGATCTATAAGTAGGACTGGACTGCTAGCTTGCTGCGGTTGCTGCTGCTGCTGCTGCCGCCGCTGTTACACTGATGCTGGAGATAAGCTTCTTCTCTCTGCTCTGCTCTGCTCTGCTTCTCAGTCTGGCGCTTTCTTCTCTGTGCCTGTCTCTTTCTCTTTTATTAATGAACGGTGTTGCGTAGTGCCTTTTTGTGGGGAGGAGGAAAGGAGAGTGTTTGCAGAACTGGGTTTTGCTGAACCCTACTGTGCAGTTTGGATTTAAGTGAAAAAATGGAGAGGTTAGAGAGAGAGCAGGAAGAGTGTATGAAGGACTGAGGAGGGCAGAAATGATCAGATTCAAGAAGGGGAAGGAAGGGAGGAAGAACAATAAGAAGGTAGAAGGAGAAAGGGGGAAAAAAGAGTTAATTAATTAATATTATATATTTTAATTGTATGTGGACCCGACCCGACCCGCTCTACTGCTTCTTCTTTTTTTAATCCGGGCCCCCGAAAACAAAACACACACACTTCCCGCATTCCCAAATGCTGCTGCCTCTTCTGTTTTCTTCCTTTTCCTTCTCTTTTTTTTTTTGTATTTTATTATCGCTTTTGTATTTCTTTTTTTTCTATAATGGGCAAATAACGTGCTCAGGCACCAACTTTGCACTGTTATCTTTTTTGGCCCAAACTTTGCACTGCTATGATGTTGCGACGCAGAACTTCCAGAAATAATTATTGGGGCGACAAATTATATTATTGTTATGAAACTAATGAAAATATAAACAACTACAAGAGAAGATTAGAGAGGAAAAGACACAAGAGAAGAGAGGGGAAGAGTTCTTCTTATTCATTCTTCACTTTTGATACAATGGTGTGCTATATTTATAGGCACACTTTGGTAACCACTACATCCTTATATCAATGCATATGAATGAGAGATAATAATGTAGGAATAGGGGTTACATGTAACTCCCAAGTGAGCATCTAATGTGGTAGGTCATTGGTCATCCATTTATCAATATTTACATAATACTCCCCCTTGGATGACCACTAGATTGCATTACGCTATATCATACTGCCTCATTAAAAACCTTACCAGGAAAACCCATTGGGAAAAAACCGTGGTTAAGGGAAAAAGAGTGCAGTGCGTATATGCTCCCCCTCATGACCACATCACTTTAGATTATTGAGTCGTTGAACTCAAATTTCACGAACAACTTTTAGAAAGATTGTTTTCGGGAGTGAGTTAGTGAACAATCTTCTAGATTGTCAATTTGATGCATGATCTTTAGATTTTCTTCATACATGATCGTCAGGATCATTTCATTTGAAAATAGTTAACAACCACAAGTACTTGACATATGGTGGATCACAAAGTGTAACGAAAGACATTTGGGACTTGCCCATTATAGTTTGTTTTGTTTCTTTATGAAACATTTATATCACCATATGTAAGAGATAGCTCGTCTATGATCACCAATATAAGGATCAAATGATATATAGGATTTGGATATATAGTTTACCAAATCTCTCTTTGATAATACCATAATAGAACAATCGCATATATTGTTCCTGGAGGTAACAAAGTATTTTCCAACGTTCTAATGAGGAAAACATTGTATCTTGCCAATATTATCAACACCAAAATGATAGTTTATATGGTGCTTGGCTAGCAAGGTGCATTGGTGCTCTAATGCATCAACATATGGTACTGCAGGACCTAATGTTTCATTTCTTTCTTGATTTCTAAATGGATCTTTGGTCACTTCTAGTGATCTTAGGATCCTAATGTTATTTGATGAACTGCTTTAAGAAGCTCTTCAATTTAACTTTCCCACTTTTTCAACATTACCTTCCTTTCCCATAAAAAGGATCTTAAATCCTTCAATTTAACTTATGTTTCGAAGCAATCAACTGCTTTAGGAAGCTCTTCAGGAGATCCAATAATAGTCATATCATTAACATAATATGAGATCGTAAAAAAAACTTAACTAACAAAAATTGATGCTAGCAATTCTTTCATATAACGAAAGATAATAACAAAACTCACATCATAGAAACATATGAACTAGACAAAGCACAATCATAAAACACAACTCATACTTTAAAGTAAAACACAACTCATAAACCAAGATTTTAAAATCCTTGAAGCACATACAGACAACACAACTATATATGCACAATGCAAATGCTCTAATGCACTCTATCCAGATTAACCTTTTAAGGTCCATTCACCCCACTGTTGTAGGTGTTCACTAGACGAGTATTTCACATTCGTCTATATTTTCTCAACCCATACAGGGGATATTCTTAGTCTATCATTATATGTTCTCGAGAACTTTACTTGTTTACTTCAGGTAAATTAATCCTTCTAGGAGTAATTAATCCTTCTGGGAGTTTCAAATATATTTAACATCTTCAGGGAATTCAAACAAATAGGCTATCACAACAATTTTCAAACATTAATTTGAAAAAGTAGTTGCACCCACCACAGGGGAGTATAACTCCTCTTAAACAATGATAAGTCTTTTCGAGAAACCCATTGCAAAACATTGTGCGATATCTCGCACAATTTCATACTTTCCAGTTGCACAAAAATTTGTTTGTATCCCGCTAGTTTTGCCCTTTTTTAGGTGCAAGGACTTCTGATCCTTAAACTTTATGCTCCTTGAGCAAGTTTCATGATTTCTTTCTATATTGGCCAATAACATCATCATTTGCATGTATCAATAGAGTTTTACTCTTGATCCTCACTTGTATATATCATATTCAGTACTGAAGTACAACAAACAAATTTCGTCGACAATGACTTCATTTCGGTTCCAGTATTGTAGTCTAATATATTTTTGAGATCTCTTCCCTTTCACAACTTTCAGATACATGTGTTCTTCTGGAACTAAAATTGTACTTAATTCTTGGTTACTCTTCTTGAGTTTTCATGTCCTCGAGTTGACCATTCTAATTACAGCTCCTTTTCATTCTCGAGGATGTTTATAATTGGAACCGATTGGTCTATCACGCTTCATGCGCTCTCTCATACACATTTTTTTATTAGAGTATCCAACAAGGATATCAAATTTAGTTGGAGCATTCACAGCTAGTATATGTGACTTGGTCACTTCGTATGGCCAGTAAATACATTTGATAGTTGGTAACGATAATTCATCTTATGAACTTCAGGTTCATGTTTCTTACTTTGAGGATCAAAATTAGATAATGATAACTCATTCCAACTCATCTCTTTGTCTAGCTGTTTTTTTTTCTCTCCCCCTTAATGTTGGAAAAGTGATTCATCAAAACAATAATTTCGCAAACAAATTTTCCATTTGGGATTCATACCCAACACAAATTCTCAATTTCCAACGGGAATCAACTTAAGATACTATGGTGGAGCAATTGGGATGTATGCGGCACACCCTGATATTCTCATATGAGAAATGTTAGGTTTTTGACCAAAATCATTTGTAAAAGGGGGAACTTATGATAACTTGTTGGTTAGATGTGAATCAATACTATCACTTGCCAGCTAGCATGTCCTCGACAAGAGATCAGAAGGCTTAGTTTGTTCTCTTAAGCAAAGTGATGTTTGATTGGATAATCATAAAAATGTATCCATAGTGAGGCAATCAATCTCGCAAACATCGGGTTGCGATTAGATAAAATAAAAGTGATCATATAAAATCTCAAGAGATTTGCCAACTCTTATACAAGCTCTGATCAATTGTTCTATTCTCCTTGAGAACAAACATGGCATAATAACTCTTTTAGTTGAAGAGTTCTTTGACTTCTCATATGATGTTCTCATGAATTCTCAAAGAACTTTTTTCACATCAAGATCCGGGATGGTCTAACCGGACCAACCAATTATCAAGTTATCAAATCTTGTAAACTTCTGGTTTACACTTTTATGTGTACGGATTGTACTAATATACATGTAGTACATATTTGCGATGAAAATATTAGTTTCACTATTTTCTTGATAAGATATTCATTTTACGAATATCCTTTAATTGGGTAATGCATCATCACTAGGTAGTTTTGTTCCTTCAGGCCACAAAATTAGCTCCTTTAAAGCTTTACCATATTTTGTACCATATTCTACCCTTCCGGGGACTTATGATTTGATGTATTCTTAGTAAACACATATTCATAGTGAATATCATTACAAATTATTATCACGAGTACATAATTTAGTTACTTCAAGTAACCAAACATAAGCTCTTCGGAAGCTTTTTCTCATTTATGTACTCTACCATATAGTTTATATGGAATTTTTCTAACAATCATACTTTACAAAAACACACTAAAATAATAAATGAGAATATTTCAAACTTAAGACAAAAATGATGAATTTATCAAGTTAATTGTTCTAGATAAAGGTTATCAAATTAAATTATGCATGAAAAATAACGTCACAATAAAACATAAAAGAAATAAGAATCATAATACTACAATTAAATAAGCTTTATTTGGAACAATATCATCACTAATTAGGTGATTATAAATTTATATATGTCTTTCATTATACATTTCAATGTACAACTGGTACATTATGTTATCATGACTTTGATAATGCAATCGTTATGTCATTCTTATTTATAATTTTCCTTTTTTCTCACTTCTGGTGAAAATATCCAAACAATACATTTAGCATATATATAATCATGTTTATAGCTCCATTCACTTCGGGGAATAGATTGTTTCATTCACTTCTGGGAATGAAAATGTCTCAAGTGCAATATCATTTTCATCTTTAATGGAGAATATACCAACTTATAATACAAAAAATATGTTCCATAATATTGATATTGCAGGAGCGTATATGAATTTGCTCTTCCCTTTGATTCTTGGTAGAATAAAGTCTTTTGCGTACAACGGGTACGGGACAAATGCAATTTTCCATTACATTGGTAACATACAAAACCAATCTTCTCGTTACCATGTCCACTTCTTTCTTTGCCCTTGGATTCTTCAATTTCCACTTCTGGGGAATATATGGGCTCTTGGAACTTGCATTTTCTACATATCAATGTATGATTGATAAGAATAGGATAACACAGAGAACTGAGAAATTAACTCATCACTTATATTACTTTTCTTGTTATTGCTACTACATGAGCAAATTTTAATTTGCGATAATGTCAAAACACCAATTTAATTTTAAGGAATCGATGTATGTATTGTAAAACACATAATAATATAAATCAAATTACACAACCCAAAATTTTAATTCAAATAGATGTACGAGATAAAATATCAATGGATGGTATACTACGAGAAAAGAGTAGCATCCATCTTAATATATTGGAATGGGATAATCTCACAACAAATAAGACAATAAGATATGAAAGAAGACAAAGATTTTGCATACCTTGATCATATTGTGATCTTACTCCAATATCTTAGATTATGTCGAGAGTCTTTGAGGCTTGAGCAATGATAATTTTGGCAGAGTTTCGTGCTGATAACGTGTTATGAAACTAATGAAAATATAAACAACTACAAGAGAAGATTAGAGAGGAAAAGACACAAGAGAAGAGAGGGGAAGAGTTCTTCTTATTCATTCTTCACTTTTGATACAATGGTGTGCTATATTTATAGGCACACTTTGGTAACCACTACATCCTTATATCAATGCATATGAATGAGAGATAATAATGTAGGAATAGGGGTTACATGTAACTCCCAAGTGAGCATCTAATGTGGTAGGTCATTGGTCATCCATTTATCAATATTTACATAATAATTATTATATTTAACTACATGTGTCACTCAAGTTTTTTTTACAATAATGATCAACTTTTATTCCACTTCCAACTCGAAAAAAGCGAGAATACACTTTATCAAAGGAAATCCGAAATTAGGTCAAGAATACTAATCCAGTCTACAGGGAGGGAGGATCTAGCAAGTGATCGTGCAACCCAATCAGCTCTAACATTAAAAGCACGAGAAACTGCCTTGACCTTCACTTGAGGGTTCGTTCTTAGGATTGAGACCATAGATCCAATCCAGGCTGCACCTCGCCACGGCCAATTTCTTGGCTCATCCGAGAGAGCTTTGACAATCATTTGGCAGTCTGACTGGACAACACATTCAGTGCCATATTCTTGGGCTAATTTGAGACCTTCCAAAAGGGCTTTTGCTTCGGCTTCAAGTGGGGTGGAACAAAGGAGAAAGTCAGCTCGCCCATCACACACTTGTCCATGGTGGTTAGTGACCACAACACCATATGCCGCCGGCTGGGAGTCGTTTAAAAACGACCCATCACAGTGAATCACAAAATTGTGATTGCTTGGCGGTGGAGAATTGAGTGATTGGGCTCCCCTGAGCTGAGTAGCAGGAGAGTCATTGGGGGGACTCCTCGGGCAATTAGTCCATTCCATGAATTCCTTGTAAGTTCGCAAAATAACGTTCGGATGCCAAGGGATCCGATTCTTGAACACACACTCATTCCTAGCCTTCCAGATATTCCAGCAAAGGAAAATAACATGAGTGAGGGCTCCTGGTTGTATAGAGTCCTTCAGTAGGTACAACCAGTCAAGGAAAGCAGTATACTGAGCTGGCAGCGGGATGTTTGGGAAGATAACTTCCCATGATTCCCTCGCATGGGGACATTGGAAGAGGCAGTGGAAAAGGGACTCAATCGGCCATTGGCACACTTGGCATGTGGCATTAGGGGAGCATTTCCTATGCATGAGTCTCTCTTTTGTTGCCAGCCCGTTCTTGGCACATCTCCAGACAAAGAATTTGAGCTTAGGCGGGATATTCAGACTCCACACCCATTTCCATTTCTCCACATTGTCCATCGTTTGGGGATCCGTTACAGACGAGTGAACCGCATGATACGCTGTCTTGACCGTAAACTTTCCATCTTCATTAAATCTCCACGCCCAGAAATCCTTAGCGTCCTCCTCCCCAATCGGAACTCTCAAAATAGCATCTCTTTCTGGGCCGGATACCTGATCCTGGATCAACTCATCAATCCACTTCCTGCTTTCCGGATCAATCCAGGTACTTACTCTTGCATGATTTTGTGGACCACTCTGGATGCATGCTCTGGGAAGGAAAGGAACCCACGGATCTTGATCAATCCATGTATCATCACCAGATCCAATAACTTTAACAACTCCTAGATCAATGACCTTTCTTGACTCCCAAAGACTCGCCCAGATCCAAGAAGGTTTGCTTCCTTTTTTAGCAGAAAGAAAGTTGCCTCTAGGGAAATAAAGTCCTTTGATGAGACGACTCCAAAGTGTATCAGTGTTGTTCATAAGCCTCCAGGCTTGTTTGGCAAGCAGGGCCAGATTGAAATCTCTGAAGCTTCGAAATCCCAAACCTCCCTCTGATTTTGGGGTACAAAGAACCTCCTTCCTGCACCAGTGGAGGTTGCTTTTCTGCATCGACCCTGACCAGAAGAAATTGCTGAGGAGAGAATCCATTTTCTTTGTCAGGGCAACTGGCAGGAGGAATAGGCACATGATGAAAGTAGGGATGGCCTGGATAACCGACTTGAGAAGGACTTCCTTTCCACCATGTGAAAGAAGCAGGCTCTTCCACGCTTCCCCCATCTTTTCCATCCTTTGGATAAGGAAGTAGAATGTTTCCTTTTTCGAATTTCCCCATTCTGTCGGGACTCCAAGATATTTAGAATGGCAATTGGAAGATGCAAATCCAATGTGATTGATGATATCATTCTTCTCTCCCGCTGGAACATTCGCGCTGAAGAAAATGGAGGATTTATGTACGTTGACTTCTTGACCAGTTATTGCCCCATAGTCGTTGATGACCTCCAAAATTCTTCCAGCCTCTTGGATATTAGCTTTCCCAAATATGACCGTGTCATCCGCAAAAAGACAGTGAGTGAGAGTGGGGCATCTCGCGTTGAGCTTTATTCCCTTGATCCGTTCTTCCATTACTGCTTTGTCAACCAGGAACGTGAGGGCATTAGACATCAGGATGAATAGAAAAGGGGAAAGAGGGTCTCCTTGTCTAATGCCTCTCGAGGGACAGAAGCTCTCTGAGGCTTCTCCGTTGAACAAAACTGAGAATTTAACTGTACGGATACACGCGCTGACCCATTTGCACCATCTCTCCTCGAACCCATAATGCCTAAGGAGGGTCTCCAGACCTTCCCACTCCACCATGTCATAAGCCTTTTTCATATCCAACTTCATCATCATATCCCTTCTGTTGCCGAGTTTGTGATTCTTGAAATGGTGTAGAGCTTCATGAACGATAATGATGTTATCTTGGATGAGTCGACCGCCTGTGAATGCTGTCTGTAGCTCTGAGACCAAAACGGGTGTCCATTTCTTCAGTCGGGTAGCCATAATCTTTGAGATGATCTTGTACCTGAAGTTGCAGCAGCTGATGGGTCGGAATTGTCCTATAGTCTCTGGGTGGTCCACCTTAGGTACCATCACAATGTGTGTATCATTCCACCCTTCAGGCATACTAGCTGATTCGAAGAACTCCTTAACTTCTCTACAGAGGGTTTCCCCCACAGTATCCCAATATCTTCTGTAGAATTTACCCGAGAACCCGTCAGGCCCCGGTGCCTTTCTCGCTCCGAGAGAGAATACTGCTCTCCTAATCTCTTCCCTAGTCACTTCTGTACATAGGTCCTCATTCATCTCTCCTGTGACCATTGCTGGGAATCCCTGAAGGAGGTGGGTAAACTCATTGGTTTCTCTAGCCTTGAAAAGCTCTTTGAAGAACCCAACCGACAAACCCTTCAGCCCTGTCTCATCCTCAACCCAATTCCCCACCTCATCTTTAAGGCGAAGGATTCTGTTTCTATGCTTTCTGTGAATGGTGCTAGAATGGAAGAAGGAAGTGTTTTGATCCCCTTTTTGAAGCCAAAAAACTCTCGAGCACTGACTCCAAAAAGCTTCCTCCTCAAGCCAGATCCTGGTCAATTCTGCAGTAAGGATCTTCTCCTCCTCCACATTTTCTGGAATACGTGGTGGCTGATGGAGGATCTCAAGTCTGGATACAATTTCACTCTCCCTAAGAATACTGTTCTTATGGAAATCTTTCGCCCATGCCTTCATTTCTCTCTCGCATTTGTTTAACTGATTGCTAGACAGCCCTCCTGGATCCCACTCCCTGCACACAATCTCTTTGCATCCCTCTTTTTCCAGCCATCTCTCGTCCACTCTGAACGGAGTTCTTCTTCTTCTGTTACCTTGATAGTGGAGGTCAACCTTAATTGGGCAATGGTCAGAGGCCACCATCTTCTCATGGAAAACTACCGCTTCTCCAAACATCACTCTCCAAGATGGCGAGCACAGCACACGGTCCAATCTAACTCTAACCAAATTTGGGCTAGAGCGTTTGTTGGACCAAGTGTAAGGGTTGCCTTTAAAACCAATGTCAATTAGGGCATTGTCAAAGATGAACCTTTTGAAAGGTTCCACATTCTCGTACCTAAGAGGGCACCTCCCTTCCTTTTCATATTCATAAATAGCAACATTAAAATCTCCTACTATTACCCAACTATCATCTCTACTACTCCGAAGAGAGCTTAAGTGCTCCCAAAACTCCCTTCTACCAACCACCGTAGTCGGGGCATGGACAAAGGTACAAAAGAACTTCTTCCCCATGTCGATGCTAACATCCATATAATACTTATCACTACTGATTACATTAATACTAATACCCTCTTTCCACCATAAAGCGAAGCCCCTAGAAGAGTTAATCGGTTCTACATACTCTTTATTGGGGAAAACTCTAAGACTTCTCCTATGTTCTTCCATGAAATCTTCGTTTTTGCTAGTTTCCATAAGGAAGACAATAGAAGGGCCATGACGTCGAATAAGACGCTTTGCATAACTTCTTGTAAGGGATTGGCCAAATCCCCTACAATTCCAACTTACAATACTCATGGATCGTGAGGTGGCTTTTGGCGAACCACCGCTGCCCTTGTGTCATTTTCATCTCCATCCCCAATGCCTTCACTTGTCGATTGAGCTTTGTTCCTTTGGTGCTTCTTCTTCTTTCCCCTTCCTTTTACTCCTCCTGCAAATATTGAGCTCGTTGGGCTCAAATTAAAACCAGCCCCTTCATTTAACCCCTGGCCCACTTCTCCTGGGCTTAGGACAGATTGCCCCTTTCTTTTCTTAAAATTTCGGCCCATATCTCCTTCCAGCTCCCCTTGGATGTGTTGGTATGGACTCTGGGCCTGGGTGTTGGATGGCATGGGCTCCTGAGTAATTCTTGGGCCGGCCTGCAAGGTGGATTTGCCAAGCCCAAGTGATAGCTGGGCGCCCATTTGCATCCTCCTCACTGTCTGCCGCTGCGTTTCTTCCCCTCCCTCGAGCCTCAGACTCCCCTGAAGAGCCGCCGCTGCTTCCTCCAAATCCAGAGACAGATCTCTTGCCCCCATGTCCTCCCTGTATTTCCCCTTCATCCTCCACCGATTACTTCCTTCCTCAGCCCTTGCTTCCTCCTCCAGCCGGCGCACCGTGAAGCCCGGCGGGACCTGGGGGTGTGCTTCCTCTTCTCTTCTTGCCGACGTGAACTCTGCCGCCACCATCGTCTCAGTGCCATCAATTAAACCCCCCGAACTGTAATGGTCCCTCCAAGCTTCAGGGTTGGTAGATGGGCACCATGGTTCTTCTTCTATTCGACTTCTGCTCCCACTCGATTTATAAGGGGAATCAATCCCCGCCTTCAGCTCAGATGTGTAAATTTCGGAGAGCTTGACATGGCCTCCCTTCTTCCTTTCTTCTTTCATTCTTGAACATGTCGGCCAGTTATGCCCGATTCTCCCACAAAAATAGCATAATTCAACAAGCCTCTCATATTTGAAAGTTATCTCTTCACAATACTCTCGACCAGTTGCTTCATCCGTGGAGGGAAAGTCGAAGCCCGTCGGGACTGGTTCACTAACCTCAATCTCGGCCAGCATCCGGATGAGTCTTCTGTATCCGTTGAAATGGAGGCTGGCTCTGTCCATATCAAGGAACTTGCTGAAGTAGAAGGTTCCTATTGAGATGATATTCTGCTCACATCTTTGACTTTGGTGGAGACCATGTATCTGAACCCAGACCGCAAGCTTGTTCATGGGCATTGCCTCCGGATCTCCTCTGCCCTCGTACTTTGTCAGAGCAGTCATAGTGTTGGAAAGACTCCATGGTCTTTCAAGCCAGATTTTCTCACGGATCTTGGCATCTTTGAAGGTAAAGATGAATAGGTTCTGAGCTTGAGTTGGTTGAACTCCCACTTCCCCGTATTTTCCCCAGGCATATCTAGCTGCCCCTGCAGCCTTCGCCAGTGCTACCTTGTTCTCAGTAAGCATCTTCCCTAGTAGCATTGAAATTCCCCTGCCATTGTTAGTAGTCAGTTGTGGCCGAGACCCTTTTCCTGCTGCTGAAGAGGGATTGCTGCTGCGCTCTGTGCTCAATCGTCCTGCCCTCTCGGTCAGATCATTGATGTCCATCCTGGTTCTGTTTCTCTGTTTTTTGTGGAAGCTAGAAGTTGGAAGGTTTTTGGACGTGAACAGAGTGGGTAAGAGGAGGAAAGGCTTTCTTTCTGCAATGCAAAAGGCTGGGATTTCCTTCTTGCTGCTCGCCTCTTCCTTAAAAGCTCTAGCAGGCTCTGATAGGTAACAGTTCGCTTAACTCCGTTAAAGTTAACAAAGACGGCATGGTGAAAATTTGTGGTGGTTTGTTTGTTGGATTTGGATGACAAATTTTATCACAAAATGTCAAGCATGATAGATTTAATGAAATTGTAAATTCAGATATTCTTGTACATCCAAATTCGTGGGAAGAAGAAAAAACAAGTAGTGGACCATAAGAAATTGTAAAGTCATCTTTATTTTGGAATTTGGTTCATGGATAGAAAATCTTAGTACAACAAATTATAAATATATCATAAAAAATTAACTGCACAAAAATTCAACTACACTCAAATCCCTAGGTAAAATTAATGTGGATTTATAATGATGCAATGAAGGTCAGAAGAGCAATTTGCAAGTTCGAACATCGAAAAGGGTATATAAGATTATACTTCGAGAGTATATATGCGACTTTATTCCTTTCACAATATGTGTAAATAATGTGAACCAATCAATCTACGAAGGATGGATGGATAAATAAAAAATTACCACCAAATATAGTGTAAGGAAGGATTGAGCTAATGATAATGGAGAAGAAATAGTGTTGAGTGTGCAAGCTTTTTTCGTGTTAAAATAGATCCTCCATGAACCTTCTCTACATCCTAGGGATGGCAATGAGTCGGATTGGGGCGGGGTATGTCAAACCCAAACCCATGAGTTTATCAACACAAAAAAAACTCGGAAAAAATCCAAAAGTACCACTGTTTCAAAAAAAATTTCCAAAAATACCACCCAATTCCAAAAAATTCCAAAAATACCACCCTTTTTCAAAAACCGCCACCCCACCCAGCGGTTTGGTCGAAAACCGCTTGTCGGGGGCGCGGTTTTAGACCAAACCGCGGGCCTAGGGGGCGGTTATAAAAAAAAAAAAAAAAAAAAAATTGGACCAAAACCGCTGGGTGGGGTGGCGGTTTGGCCCAAAACCGCCACCCCAACCAGCGGTTTGGTCCAAAAGTTCGGTCGAAACTTCAAACGAACGTAACTTTGCACTCGGGTATCCGATCGTAGCGATTTTTTTTTTCAATTCGCATAACTTTTCAAGATCTATAACTTTTACACGGATGAAATTTTCAAAACAGGAACTATTTGTGGATATACGGGACCTTGAGAATAACTTTACCTTTACTTTTCAGAAATCCATGTACATTTTGGAATTATGATTATATTAAAAGTTGTAGATCTTAAAAAGTTATGCGGAATAAAAAAAAATTCATGACATTCGGATTTTGGAGCACAAAGTTATGGCCGCCCAAAGTTTGACGAAATAAAAAAAAATGTCGTTCGGGGTGGCAAATGACGTTTTTTCGAGACGAAGACGAAACCCGACTGTTTGAGACTTGCAAGATCTCAAAAATTTATTCGGATTCAAAAAATGGAGGCCGCAAACTTTTTGAGATCTTGCAAGCCGCAAACCGCCGGGTCTCGCCTTTCGTCAAACTTTGGGCGGCCATAACTTTGTGCTCCAAACTCCGAATGTTATGAACTTTTTTTTTATTCCGCATAACTTTTCAAGATCTACAACTTTTAATATAATCATAATTTCAAAATGTACATGGATTTCTGAAAAGTAAAGGTAAAGTTATTCTCAAGGTCCCGTATATCCACAAATAGTTCCTGTTTTGAAAATTTCATCCTAGTAAAAGTTGTAGATCTTGAAAAGTTATGCGAAATAAAAAAAAATCGCTACGATCGGATACCCGAGTGCAAAGTTACGTTCGTTTGAAGTTTCGACCGAACTTTTGGACCAAACCGCTGGGTGGGGTGGCGGTTTGGCCCAAAACCGCCACCCCAACCAGCGGTTTTGGTCCAATTTTTTTTTTATAACCGCCCCCTAGGCCCGCGGTTTGGTCCAAAACCGCGCCCCCGACAAGCGGTTTTCGACCAAACCGCTGGGTGGGGTGGCGGTTTTTGAAAAAGGATGATATTTTTGGAATTTTTTGGGGTTGGGTGGTATTTTTGGAATTTTTTTTTGAAACAGTGGTACTTTTGGATTTTTTCCAAAAAACTCGGGGGTAAAACTTACTGAATTTGAAAAACTCAAACTCAACCCGCTAGGTATCCGTGGGTTCATGGGTACCCATGGGCCATGAGTTCATATACAAAGATGCAATTACTCTAGTTTTCACTACTATTGTCTACTACATACACACTAACTCAAAAATCATTCATACCAATTGAGCAACATTAAAGGTAAAGATCCACAAACGATACGATTAATTGAACGTGTGAGGAATTAGTTTAGAAATTATAGTTAATTAGTTAACAGTTCTGTGGGTCGTGGGGGTATGAACTTGGGTGCGGGTATCCACAGATTGGATAGGGCTAGACCCACATCCAACCCACAAAAAGTAGAGTGAGTTTAAACCCGAAACGGCCCGCAATCCGTTAAAGCGGATTTTACACATGTTGATCGGGTTAAGGCGGGTAAGATACCCTCAAATTCGAATTCTAGTGCCATCCCTATTAAATCCCTCTGCCTCTCTTGCTAGGTCTTTCCTCCTCCACCTCTACTTCTTGTTTTTCTCTTAATTTAGAGAGCCAAATCGAAAACCATTCTACATGATTTCATATTTAGTATCTAGGGCAAAGGAATTAGTGAAGATTTCATGTTCGGATCCCAAAGTGTGTGTGTTTTTTTTTTTGCCGAAGAAAAATCGAAAAAGATAACGTGATAGCAATTTCGATATTTATTGTTTTGAATTGTACTCAAATTTATGTAGTGTCTGTCACTTTTACCTAACATAGAATGATTAATTATAATTAGAACAACTATATACAATTAACCATCATCTCCTTCTGCTTCATGCTAGACCCTGTACTCAACTTCCATGGTTGGTCACTATGATTACAAAAAACGTTCACGTTTGGTCACCGAAAATATTTAAATCCAATCTTGGTCACTCAAATTATTTAAATGGTTCAAGTTTGGTCACTCTCCGTCCATTTCCGTTAACTCTAGCTTACGTGGCAGTCAACTTTCATAGTTGACCGTTAAATATGTGACATGGCAATTAAAAAATTATTAAAAATAAAAAATAATCTTTTACATTTTCCACCTCATTATTACATTAATTAAAAAACAAAAAAAAATATTTTTTTGCTGGAAGACCTCTCGCATCTCACCTTGCCGATCTGCGGTGCCGGAGCAGTTTCAGCTTCTCGGCGGCGGTGCTAACTCCGTCGTCGGCGAATTTCAACTCGCAGTAGCGTAAAAGTCAAAAACCCCCCCGATGCCCAAAGAAAATAAAACCCCCGTCGATTGCGCAGCCGGTCAGTCAGTCACCTCTGCCCCACTCGGCACTCAATCAATATTCAATGCACTCACGAGTATCCACCTTCTCATGTTCTAAGCTGTAACTATAAGGCATAAGCCCACGTTATCTTCCTCCCATTCCTATCCCTTTCATTCCCCAGCGTTTCCCCAATTCCCAAAAATGGGTGGAGAAGAAGAAGGCGGAGGCGAGGAGTACCTGTTCAAGATAGTGGTGATCGGGGATTCGGCGGTGGGCAAATCCAACTTGCTCTCCCGCTTCGCCCGCAACGAGTTCGACGCCAACTCCAAGGCCACCATCGGCGTCGAGTTCCAGACCCAGCTCCTCGACATCGATGGCAAGGAAATCAAAGCCCAGATCTGGGACACCGTCGGCCAGGAGCGCTTCCGTGCCGTCACCTCCGCCTACTATCGCGGCGCCGTCGGTGCTCTCGTCGTCTACGACATCACCCGCCAAACCAGCAAACTCCTCTTCTACTTTTCCCCACTTCCTGCACGAGATTTCTTAGATAATTGAATTGAATCGAAATAAAAACACATCTGCTTTAATTTGCTAATCTAAGAAACTCCTTCAAATCCCTAGACACGACCCCCACCGTATCGGCGGAATCGGACACCATCTCAGCAACGGAGATCAGCGCTCCGGCGAGCTTCACCAGCTTCCGTCGAAATCCCCAATAGCTTGAGGCAAATCTCCAAGCTCGCGAAATCGGACGAGTTCTCCGAGTCGTTAACTCGGGTTTCTAAGGCGTTAACGCTGGGGATTCTGCGTGGGTATGATTCCATATCGAGTAAGGAGAATCGATATGCCGTGATTCCAATTTCAGCCACAAGCTGACTGCAGTTGAAATTCGCCGGCGACGGAGTTAGCACCGCCGCCGAGAAGCTGAAACTGCTCCGGCACCGCAGATCGGCAAGGTGAGATGCGAGAGGTCTTCCAGCCAAAAAATATTTTTTTTTGTTTTTTAATTAATGTAATAATGAGGTGGAAAATGTAAAAGTTTTTTTTTATTTTTAATAATTTTTTAATTGCCATGTCACATATTTAACGGTCAACTATGAAAGTTGACTGCCACGTAAGCTAGAGTTAACGGAAATGGACGGAGAGTGACCAAACTTGAACCATTTAAATAATTTGAGTGACCAAGATTGGATTTAAATATTTTCAGTGACCAAACGTGAACGTTTTTTATAATCTCAATGACCAAACATGCAATTAACCCTCATATTCCCTTTCCCCTTTGATCAAAGGGGTTCTCTAAATTTCTAAGTTGTGGTTTGTGGATTGAACCTTTTTGCCCCATTTCTCCTTTCCCTTTTCTATTTTGGGTATGAATCCCCCGCAAGAGTCTCCTTTGGCTTTCCTCCCCTAACTCTGTCATGGCTATCGTGATTATAAATTGGTCTGAAAGAGAATAGGAAGGGGGAAAGGAATTCCATATAGACGAAGAAGACTTTTTTGTTCTCTAGTCATTTGTTGCTGTCCTCTGCTCTCTCTCTCTCTCTCTCCCCGGCGTCTCTATCTTTGTCTTTGATATTCTCTCTCTACACTATACAGCCTAAAGTCACATACTCACATGCTACCTTTTTATTATTATTTTTCTCTCTTCTAGAGTCCTTTATCATTACCAGTATACTAAACACCATTGCCACACTTTCTCCTTTTACCCAAAACATAAAAAACAAAAGAAGGGAACTACTTTATACTGGTCCTAGCTATTTGAATCGATCGTTCATACAATCTCCCTGTTGATATATGAGCAATGGTGGTAATCAACTAACTAGTAAAGTTTCATGCAAGGTTGTCAACCCGCGGGTTGACCCGGACCCGGTCAAGTTAGTGGGTCAAGGGTTAATGGGTCAACCGTTTTAGCCCGGTTTGGCCCGGAAATATAAAACGAGTCATTATATTGTACTTATTCTCATAAATTATATCAAATCTTATCTAACATATGAATTATAACATATAATATTACACCAAAATAACATATCGTACTTAGATCCAACATATAGTGAAAATTCACACACACTTATATAACAGAAATATTCAAATGTTCAACTTAGTATTCCAAAGATTGAGTTAGGCGAAAAGAAAAATTGGAAAATAGGCGCATTTCGCAAACTAAAGAAAAAAATGATACGATTTGACCTCCAACCCGGTACCTTATAGCGGTCGGCCCGGCGGGTGCGTGCGGCCCGTTTTTCTCAACGGGTCAGGGTCAAATTGGGTCGACCCGTGGGTCAACCCGCGGGTTGACAACCTTGGTTTCATGCTTCACATGCTGTGTGTTATGTGTAGGGCAGCTATCATCTCCGACTTCAACTAGCTAGGACCAAACTCAGCCCTAACCCAAGAACTATTCTAAAATAATTGGATTTATAAGTTCAGACAAAAGCTGGCCCGACCGAATTTGCTCATGACCCTAGCTGACCCACTTGGATCGGGCTCTGGGTCGGAGTTTGGCAAGTTTGCAGGTCGAGCCAAATCAACAAACTGATATTTGAAAATTTACATTTTGGTACCAATTTTTTTTTTTTTACAATTTAGTACTTAAACTTTATTTTTATAAAAAGGTTAGTGATGGCAATAGGGTGGGAGGGTACCTCAATACACATGCCCCGCCCCACGCTATTGCGTGTCGGGACATGTAAAACCCGCGCGGGTATAAGGCGGGACGGGTCGACCCACTCTCACATGTTATTTGGAAAAAATACACACAAATTTTATTTTTCATGATAAAACGAAGGGAAAAACACTTTATGAATGAAAAATAGTGATAATAGAATGAGTAATTAAGTCTAACAAGTTGAAAGATCGACTCTAACTAGTTGAATAAAAATCAAAATAGGACAAATATGCATATATACAATAATAATTTAAGATATAATGGGCCAAGAACGGGGCGGGGAGGGGCAAGACGGGTCGGGAGTAGATACCCACTCTATTGTGGGCCAGGTCGGGTAATACGTGCGGGCTGGGTTCAAATTGTCATCACTAAAAAAGGCCCAGAAATTTTGGTAGCAAAATTACATTTTAGTACTTTATATTTTTAAGATTGTGTTATAGTTCCTAAGTTTTAGTACTTTAAATAATCCGATACTAAATTGATCCTTTAGACATACTGACCCAACACAACCCTTAGAACTGGACCAACCCGAATCAGATCGGTGAGTATCTAGGCCAAGCTTACACCCTGTCCAAAATTAAGCGACCATGTGAGGGTTGAGTATGAGTATTCTTTAGGGCTGAAAATTGCCCTAACCCTTTCTGACCCGTCACTGAAGGGCCGAGATGTATGACTAACTCGTCCCTGTCTCCTTCTTGACCCTGTCTGACCCTCAAGGGTTGGGACGAGTCTGGTTAGTGGTTCGATCCTAATCAACACACTACTTTCTTACAAATTATGTTTTGGTATCCAAAATTATTTTTTCTTACAATTTAGTACCTAAAATTTATTTTTTTACAAACAAGTCCATAAAATTCGATGGTAAATTACATTTTGGTACCCAAATTTTTTTATTTTTACAATTCAGTATCAAATTTTTAAAATTTTACAAAGAGTTTCAATGTGATATGAGATATTTGTAGACAAACTGACAGGGACCCATCTCTAATATGATCATGTAGACAAACTGACCCGTCTCGACCCTCTGGAACGGGACGGGTCAGTGGGTCATCTGATCAAGCTTACACCCCTAGTATTCTTTGGGTCAATATGCAATGTCTAGTTCTCATCTCATGCTGTACTACCAAATTATGTGTGTTTTTTTTTTGCATTAAGGGAGGCCAAAGCCAAGAAGGAGAACAATTACATCAGGAGAGAGACGAATAGAAGAGAGAAAAGAAATCTATCAACTCGTTTGCACCACAACCCGGCGCTCAAAAGAAATTCCTTGATTATCGTCCTCCATGATACGACACAGCTCCCTGGGCGGGTCCACAAGCTCTCGCATACCGTAGGGATAGACGAGACTGTGCTTCGAGAGCCAGTCCGCGGCTCTATTCCCTTCTCGGTATGTGTGAACAATGTTGACCAACCAATCCTGAGCCATAAGCCGCCGAATAGCCATAAGCAGACAGGCATACGGATGAATGGGGTCTTGTCGATCCTTAATCAACTGAATAGCTAATTGAGAGTCCGATTCGATGATCAAAGTCGCGCACCTATGCTGCCAAGCGATGTCCAAACCATAGCGAATCGCCCACAGCTCAGCAAGAGCTGCCGAGGCCTCCCCAATCTTAGCCACAAAGCCGGCTATCCACCGACCCTGCTCATCTCTAACTAATCCCCCAGCGCCTGCAATCCCAGGATTACCTGTCGAAGCTCCATCTACATTAAGCTTCAGCCAACCCCTTGGAGGGGCAAGCCACCTAATGCTCTCCGTCCTTCTTTCTAGGGTCACTCTAGGTTTACCTGGAGAAATTGATGGGGCATTCCACGCCTTGTGCCAAAGGCTGATCCTGTGCGTGACCGAGTGACTCAGGGACGGGGCAGACAAAGTAGCAGCCGTGCCTTTGAAGCAGCCTGTGCACCTGTTCTTCCACAAACACCAAATCGCTATGCTGAAAAAGGCATTCCAACTTACACCTGAATCCATGGTGTCCTCCTTGAGGAGGTTCTTCTGCAACCAGTCACCAGTAGACGCTGAGAAGAAGGCTTGCTGCTCAGAGGTCGACACATGCCTGCTCCAAAGGAAAGCAGCAGGCGGGCAATCACGGAGGACATGGCACACGGTCTCAGCAACATCTTCGCAACGGTAGCAGGAGGAGGACGGCGAGCACCTTCTAGAGAATCTCAGTTGGTTCGTCGCAATCTTCCCCAAGCAAACTAGCCAGGCAAAGCACCACACTCTTTCCGGGACTGGGAACTGCCAAACCTGCTTCCACAGGCGCTGCCCGGAATCGTATCTAGGCGGGTTAGCCAAGAGATAGGCTGTTTTTGTAGAGAAACAGCCATTGGCAGACCCCGTCCAGAAGATCGTGTCCTTCTCGGTGGATAGAGGATCAACAGCTACCGCGGTCACTTTCTGCAGAACCTCCGCTGGCAACCAGGAGGCCAACCGCTCCACATCCCAAGTGCCGTCTTCTCCAAGATAATCCGCAACTGAATCCGACATCATAACACTTGGCACCGGCTGGAGAGCCATATCCACGAGCGGGACCTGCATCAACCAAAGATCACGCCAAAACTTAGTGTCTTTCCCGCTATGAATATTCCACCCACAGCCTTGCTGCAGCAAACTAGAAGCTTTGGTAAAGCTTCTCCAAGCAAAGGAACTTCCCTGACTCTGGCGAAAAATATCCAATCCTTCCCGCTGGCGTCCACACTTGGCCCGGAAGAGCTGTGTCCAGAGGGAACTCTTCTCCTGAAGCAGGCGCCAGCCCCCTTTAGCCAGGAGAGCTAGATTAGCTTGTCTCAAGGGTCGCAACCCTGCCCCTCCTTGATTCTTTGGCTCAGTAAGCTTCTCCCACGCCACCAAGTGCATCCTTCCTTGCTGCTCTCTCTCTCCCCAGAT